GAGGCAAGGCTAAGTGTTTTATCCAGAGGGAGGAGGGCAAGTGTTTTTATCCAGGAGGGAGGCAGGGCAAGTGTGTTTTATCCAGGAGGGAGGAAGGCAAGTGTTTTATCCAGGAGGAAGGCAAGGCTAAGTGTTTTATCCAGGAGGAGAGGAGGGCTAGTGTTTTATCCAGAGGGAAGGCAAGGCAGTGTTTTATCCAGGAGGGAGGCAGGCAAGTGTTTTATCCAGGAGGGAGCAAGGCAAGCAGTGTTTTATCCAGGAGGGAGGCAAGGCAAGTGTTTTATCCAGGAGGGAAGGCATAGTGTTTTATCCTGGAGGGAGACAGGGAAGTGTTTTTATCCAGAGGAGGCAAGGCAAGTGTTTTATCCAGAGGGAGGCAGGCAAGTGTTTTATCCTAGAGGAAGGCAAGGCAAGTGTTTTTATCCTAGAGGAAGGAGGCAAGTGTTTTATCCTGAGGAAGGCAAGGCAAGTGTTTTATCCTAGGAGGAGGCAGGCAAGTGTTTTATCCAGGTAGGGAGGCAAGGCAGTGTTTTATCCTAGGAGGGAGGCAGGGCAAGTGTTTTATCCTAGGAGGAGGCAAGGCAAGTGTTTTTATCCAGGAGGGAGGCAGGGCATAGTGTTTTATCCAGAGGGAGGCAAGGCAAGTGTTTTATCCAGAGGGAGGAAGCCAAGTGTTTTATCCTGAGAGAGGAGAGGCAAGTGTTTTATCCAGGAGGAGGCAAGGCAAGTGTTTTTATCCTAGAGGGAGGCAGGCAAGTGTTTTTATCAGGAGGGAGGCAAGGCAGTGTTTTATCCAGGAGGGAGGCAAGGCAAGTGTTTTATCCAGGAGGGAGGCAAGTGTTTTATCCAGGAGGGAGGCAAGGCAAGTGTTTTATCCAGGAGGGAGGCAAGGCAAGTGTTTTATCCAGGAGGGAGGCAGGGCAAGTGTTTTATCCAGGAGGGAGGCAAGGCAAGTGTTTTATCCAGGAGGGAGGCAGGGCAAGTGTTTTATCCAGGAGGGAGGCAAGGCAAGTGTTTTATCCAGGAGGGAGGCAGGGCAAGTGTTTTATCCAGGAGGGAGGCAAGGCAAGTGTTTTATCCAGGAGGGAGGCAGGGCAAGTGTTTTATCCAGGAGGGAGGCAAGGGCAAGTGTTTTATCAGGAGGGAGGCAAGGGCAAGTGTTTTATCCAGGAGGGAGGCAAGGCAGTGTTTTATCCAGGAGGGAAGGAAGGCAGTGTTTTATCCTGGAGGGAGGCAGGGCAAGTGTTTTATACAGGGGGGAGGAAGGCAAGTGTTTTATCCAGGAGGGAGCAGGGCAAGTGTTTTATCCAGGAGGGAAGGAGGGCAAGTGTTTTATCCAGGAGGGAGGCAGGGCAAGTGTTTTATCCAGAGGGAGGCAAGGCAAGTGTTTTATCCAGGAGGAGGCAGGGCAAGTGTTTTATCCAGGAGGAGGAGGCAAGTGTTTTTATCCAGGGAGGAGGCAAGGCAAGTGTTTTTATCCTAGGAGGGAGGAAGGGCAAGTGTTTTATCCAGGAGGAGAGGCAGGGCAAGTGTTTTATCCGAGGGAAAGGGAGGGCAAGTGTTTTATCCAGGAGGGAGCAGGGCAAGTGTTTTATCCAGGAGGGAGGCAGGCAAGTGTTTTATCCAGGAGGGAGGCAGGGCAAGTGTTTTATCCAGGAGGGAGGCAAGGCAAGTGTTTTATCAGAGAGGAAGGCAGGGCAGTGTTTTATCCAGGAGGGAAAGGAAGGCAAGTGTTTTATCCTAGGAGGGAGGCAAGGCAAGTGTTTTATCCAGGAGGGAGCAGGGGAAGTGTTTTATCCAGGAGGGAGGCAGGCAAGTGTTTTATCCAGGAGGGAGGCAGGGCAAGTGTTTTATTCCAGGAGGGAGGCAAGGCAAGTGTTTTATCCAGGAGGGAGCAAGGCAAGTGTTTTATCCAGGAGGGAAGGCAAGGCAAGTGTTTTATCCAGAGGGAGGCAGGGCAGTGTTTTATCCTGGAGAGGGAGGCAAGGCTAGTGTTTTATCCAGGAGGGAGGCAGGCAAGTGTTTTATCCAGGAGGGAGGCAAGGCAAGTGTTTTATCCAGGAGGGAGGCAAGGGGAAGTGTTTTATCCAGGAGGAGGAAGGCAAGTGTTTTTATCCAGGAGGGAGCAGGGCAGTGTTTTTATCCAGGAGGGAGGAAGGCAAGTGTTTTATCCAGGAGGGAGGAAGGCAAGTGTTTTATCCAGGAGGGAGGCAAGGCAAGTGTTTTATCCAGGAGAGGAGGCAGGGCAAGTGTTTTATCAGGAGGGAAAGGGAGGGCAAAGTGTTTTATCCAGGAGGGAGGCAAGGCAAGTGTTTTATCCAGGAGGGAGGCAAGGCAGTGTTTTATCCAGGAGGGATGGAAGGCAAGTGTTTTATCCAGGAGGAGGCAAGGCAAGTGTTTTATCCAGGAGGGAGGCAGGGCAAGTGTTTTATCCAGGAGGGAGGCAAGGCAAGTGTTTTATCCAGGAGGGAGGCAGGGCAAGTGTTTTATCCAGGAGGGAGGCAAGGCAAGTGTTTTATCCAGGAGGGAGGCAAGGCAAGTGTTTTATCCAGGAGGGAGGCAGGGCAAGTGTTTTATCCAGGAGGGAGGCAGGGCAAGTGTTTTATCCGGAGGGAGGCAAGGCAAGTGTTTTATCCAGGAGGGAGCAGGGCAGTGTTTTATCAAGGAGGGAGCAGGCAAGTGTTTTATCCAGGGGGAAGGCAGGGGAGTGTTTTATCCAAGGAGGAAGGCAGTGACAAGGGCAAGTGTTTTATCCTGAGGAAGGCAAGGCAAGTGTTTATCCAGGAGGGAGGCAGGGCAAGTGTTTTATCCTAGGAGGGAGGCAAGGCAAGTGTTTTATCCAGGAGGGAGGCAGGCAGTGTTTTATCCAGGAGGAGGCAAGGCAATGTTTTATCCAGGAGGGAGGCAAGGCAAGTGTTTTATCCCAGGGAGAAGGCAGTGTTATATCCAACAGGAAGGCAAGTGTTTATCTAGGAATCTGTGTTTTAATCCTTATAGAATTGACAGGCAATGTTTTATCCTGAGATAAGAAGGATTGTTTTAATACTAGCTGACGGACAGGCTACAGTATTCTACCCAGGAAGGAATGGTCAATTTTTTCCTATCAGCAAGAATTCGACAAAGTTGTTTATTCCTTAAAGGAATAAGGTAACTGTTTTAAACCAGTAACATGAGTAACACGGCACAGGTGTTTTAAACCCAGACAGTGAATCGCTAGGTGTTTTATCTCCTAATGAAATTGTAGTAGGCCAGTGGTTGTCATTTTAGGCGTGAGGCCATGTGTTTATCCAGTAGGGTTTACAGGTAGGAATAATTTGTTTTTATCTCAGATAAAATTTTAAATTAGGATTTACAGGAATGTGTTATTATAACCAGGAAATGCACGACAATTTTTTATTTACAAGTGCAAAAGTGTTTTAATTCTAAAATTGCAAGCTAAATATAATTTCCTGGTGGGAGGCAGCAGCAAGTGTTTAATATGAGAGGATCAAGGGCGTGTTTTGATACAGGGGAGGCAAGGCAATTATTTTATCCCGCAAGGAGTGGAGAATGCAATTGTTTTAAAACCAAGGAAAGTCAAGGTAAGTGTTGAACATAGGGGGCCGGCAATGTTTGTTTTATCAGGAGGAGGAGGGGGCCCTAGGTGTTTTTATATGGTGGTATACATAAGGCATGGTTATTTTACAAGGTAAAAGGAATGTTTATCCAGAGGGACAACAATGTTTAATAAAGAGAATGACAAGGCAGTGTTTATCCAGGAGGGAAAGACACAGGCAAGTGTTTTATCCAGGAGGAGCAGGGCAAGTGTTTTATCCAGGAAGGAAGGCAGGGCAAGTGTTTTCCAGGAGGGAGGCAAGGCAAGTGTTTATCCAGGAGGGAGGCAAGGCAAGTGTTTTTAATCCAGGAGGTAGGCAGGGCAAGTGTTTTATCCAGGAGGGAGGCAAGGCAAGTGTTTTATCCAGGAGGGAGGCAGGGCAAGTGTTTTATCCAGGAGGGAGGCAAGGCAAGTGTTTTATCCAGGAGGGAGGCAAGCAAGTGTTTTATCCAGGAGGGGGCGCAAGTGGTTTTATCCAGGAGGGAGGCAGGAAGTGTTTTATCCAGGAGGGAGGCAAGGCAAGTGTTTTAAACCAGGAGGAGAGCAGGCAAGTGTTTTATCCAGGAGGGAGGCAAGGCAAGTGTTTTATACAGGAGGCAGGGCAAAGTGTTTATTCAAAGGGGAGGCAAGGCAAGTGTTTTATCCAGGGGGAGCAGGGCAAGTGTTTTTTCCAAGAGGGAGGCAAGGCAAGTGTTTTTATCCCGGAGGGAGGCAAGGGCAGTGTTTTATCCAGGAGGAGCAAGGGAATGGTTTTAATCCAGAGGAGGCAGGCAATGTTTTAATCCAGGAGGGAGGCAAGGCAAGTGTTTTATCCAGGTGGGCAAGCCAAGTTTTTTATCCAGGAGGGAGGCAGGCAAGGGTTTTATCCAGGAGGGAGCAAGGCAAGTGTTTTTTTCCAGGATGGGAGGCAGGCAAGTTTTTTATACCAGGAGGGAGCAAGGCAAGTGTTTATCCCAGATGGAGCAAGCAAAATGTTTTTATCCAGGAGGGAGGCAAGTGTTTTTATCCGGAGGAGGCAGGGCAAGTGTTTTTATAGAGGGGCAAGCAATGTTTTATCAGGGGGGGCAGGGCAAGTGTTTTATCCAGGTGGAGGCAAGGCAAATGTTTTTATCCAGGAGGGAGGGAGGGCAATGTTTTATTCCAGGAGGAGCAAGGCAAGTGTTTATCCAGGAGGGGCAGGCAAGTTTTATTTTATTTCCCGGAGGAGGGGAAGGCCCAAATGTTTTATCCAGGAGGAGGCAGGGCAAGTGTTTTATCCAGGAAGGAGGCAGGCAAGTTGTTTATCCAGGAGGGAGGGAGGCAAGTGTTTTAACCAGGGGAGGGAAGGCAAGGTTTTAAACCAGGGGGAGGCAGGGCAATGTTTTAATCCAGAGGGAGGCCAGGGGAAGTGTTTTATTGTGTTAGAATACTGCTACTGTACAGTTTCCACCAGATATCTCACACACATTGTAAGTCGAATTTCTCAACTCAATCATTTTCCTTGATCAGTCAAAATCTCACAAAGTTGCATATATATTTCCTATAACAAGTGATATACAGTGTAACTCACGTAATCGTAGTAACATGATTGTAAACCACGGCACAGGTGGGGTTAGAACCCCAGACCAGTGCTAACCTCCTTATGGTGTATAAATATATCTTACCTCAATGAATCTTATTGTAGTCACCTGGCCCAGTGGTTCACGCACTGGCCTGGAGTTTTACGTCTCACTTGCCATGGGTTCTAACCCCACTCGTACCCCCGGTTTACAGTATAACTTTGTTGTAACTATAAACAAATTTTAAAACTTTATATTTACAAAATGTGCTTAAATATTTATAAACAACTCACAACTGTTTACACTTACATTTCAACTCCTTATTTACAATTACAAATATTTTCTGCCGTTTCTAATTACTTAAAAATTCTAAACTAAATATAATTCCGTGTGTTGGTTGAGGTAAACACACCACATATGTATACTGAATATGAGAGGTCAATTGTGCGTATACCATTAGCATACACTGGTGATGCCCATTATGCTAGATATATTTTAGTGCACTGCTATTAGCAGCATCCTGCAGAATGCACATAAAACTGCTAAACCCGTACTAAACCAACAAATATTCAGTAAGTGCTTGAACATGGAGCCGTCACATATATTGTTTTTGCTAGTTTATAATGTAGGAGGCTAGTGGAGGTGGCCTTGGTGTATTATGTAATATAGCATGGTTATATTATATAATGTGGCATGGTTATATTGTTAACAACGTGTAAAAGTTGAACTTGCTGTTAATGCAGTACAAACATGTTAATAAAGACAATACAGCATGATACAGCATGATACAGCATCACAGCGGAACCATCACATGTTGACACTTCTCGTAGCTCACACACGTTCATGTCGCTCCTCACCAGCATATATCAAAATAGTCACTACTCATTTTGACTCTGTAAATCTCTCAACAAAGCTATGCAAACTCCATTTTTTTAACAATACAAAATCTAGCTCGGTACAATCACTGCTATTCTAACCTAGCTTGATCTTAGACTAACCCTCAATAACTGCTGTGCTAACTAGGTTCGTCTCAGTCTAGCACTCATAAGAACTGCTGTGCTAACCTAGTTTTTATTCAGTCTAGGTTAATAACATGTTAGTTCCTTTGTGTTTTATTTTTAAACATTTAAAAACAGTTAAATTGCTAATTGTTAAATTAGGTTAGACTCGTTTAAAGGTTTAATCTGAGGAAGTAATATGTTAACAGCGTTGACGAATGCAAATAACAGAATAATTCCCGTTTGTCACAAAAAAATGTTGAACACACGAACGGATCAGGAAAATGTGTAACCAAAACTGGTGGTAGAAGAAGGGGTGAGGGTGCAGCTGGATGATGGAGCAGTGCTATCTGACCAAGCCTCCTAACTTGGCGAGTCGAGAACATCAAGTACGTTTCTTGTTCCAACACTTTCTGCGCGGGAGGCCCAACTTCAGCAGGTGTGTCTCCTCCTCAGCCTCCACCTCCGGGCTCTTCAGGAAGGTTGGCGCTATGCACAGTCCCACGATGGTCACCGCTGAGGACACATACACTGCCCATTAATCACGCTAAAAATTATAACACTGGAAAGATTTTATTTTACGAACACATTCACAGGTTTAAGAAGAGGTATGATAAAGCTCATGGTGCAGGGAGAGTGACCCTGTAGCGGCCAGTGAAGAGGCGGGGCCAGGAGCTATGACTCGATCCCTACAACCACAACTAGGTGAGTACACACGCACGCACACACACACACACACACACACACACACACACACACACACACACACACACACACACACACACACACACCACACACACACACACACACACACACACACACACACGCACACACAATCATGGTGGTATTTAAAGGCGAGTCTAGCCTAAATACCTGTGTGGTATTTATAAGTTAAGCTTCCAGTTTCTGTGTTGCTAAGAGCCCCTGCAGAAGACAGAGTGAAATGCACCTGCCTGCTGGCGCAGTTCCTGGTGCAGGAAAGGCGTGTTGTGGAATGCTTCAATAAACTTCCAAGAGAATGTGATGAATGTGAGGATGTACAACGTAACGGGAGTGTGTGTAAGCGAGGGTAATACAGGAGGTGTAGAAAAGGGGGAGAGAGGTGGGGGGACAGGGGGAGAGAGGGGGAGGTACGGGGGGAAGGGGTGGGGGGTAGGGGGAAGAGGTGGAGGTACAGTGGGAGAGGGGGGAAGTTCATGGAAGAGAGGGGGGGTTTACAGGGAGAGAGGGGGAAGTACAGTGGGAGAGAGGGGGAAGTACAGTGGGAGAGGGTGGAGGTAGGGGGAGAGGGGTGGAGGTACAGGGGAGAGAGGGGGAATCAGTGGGAGAGGGGTGGGGGTAGTGGGAGGAGGTGGGGGTACGTGGGAGAGAGGGGGGAGGTACAGGGGGAGAGGTGGAGGTACAGGGGGAGAGAGGTGGGGGTACAGTGGGAGAAGGGGAGGTACAGTGGGAGGGGTGGGGTACAGGGGGAGAGGGTGGAGGTACAGGGGGAGGGGGTGGAAGTTCAGTGGAAGAAGTTGGGGGTACAGTGGGAGGAGGGGAAGTAATGGGAGAGAGGTGGAATACAGGGGGGAAGGGGTGGGGGTAAGTGGGAAGGTGGGGGTAAGACGGGGAAAATACAAAAAAGTGGTGTAGGTACAAAAAAAAACAGAGAAGTGATTGTCAGTACCGGTTGCTGAACCCCAGTATGTAACATCATCACTTTTTAACCTCCATTGTGGCACAGCACTGTTGAACCCCCAGTAAACATCAGTCCTGAGAACCCCCAGTAGTGGCACCAGTCACTTTTTGAACCCCATTGTGAATCAGTCACTGTTGAACCCCATATGTGGCACCAGTCACTGTTAAACCTCCAGTAAGGGCACCATCACTGTTAACCTCCATTTAATGGAAACCATCACTTTTAACCTCCAGTATGTGATACCAGTCATGTTGACCCTCCAGCATGGGGCACCAGTCACTTTTGAACCTCCAGTATGTAACCAGTCACTGTTGCCCCCTCCATATGTGATACCAGCCACTGTTGAACACCCATATGTGGCACGGGCACGTTGACCCCTCCAGCATGTGACCACACTGTGAACCCCCCAGATTAGCACCTTTCATTTTGGGCCCTGCTGATCTTTTTCTTAAACCCCCTGAAGTGTTGTCTTGATTCTTATGGAGGGAGATTGACCGGGAAAGTGGAGTTCCCTCCCTTCCCTTTGGTTAAAGTTTGATCACCTACCATTTCCCCCGGCCCCCGTTAACCCCCCGCCCGCGTGTGGGTTCAAAACTGTACCCAGAGTGTCTACCTTCGTCCCGACATGAATGACAACACAAAATAAATTTAAATTAACACCTTCCTAGCTTCTCTCTCCCTCCAAACCTCTCTCTCTCTCCCTCCATGTCTCTCTTTTCTCCCTCCACGCGTCTTCCCTCCATAGCTCTCCCCTCCCTAGCTCTCTCCCCTCCAGCTCCCCTCCCCCCATAACTCTCCCCCTCCATATCTCTCTCTCTCTCTCTCCTCTCTCTCTCTCTTCTCTCTCTCTTCTTCTTTCTCCTCTCTCTCTCTCTCCTCTCTCTTCTCTCTCTCTTCCTCCCCTCCTTCTTTTTAAACCCTCTTTTTAAAATAAAGGGGGGGGATGAAATAGGACCCAAAAAATTAGCCCCGGCTAGGTTTGTTTCCGGTCTTTAGATTTCTTCTCTCTCTCCTCCCTCCAAATCCTCTTCTCTCTTCTCTTTCTCTCCTCTCTCTCTCTCTTTTCCCTTCTCCTTCTCCCCCCTTTCTCTTCTCTTTTTTCCCCCTTTCTTCCGTTTTCCCGGGTTTGGTTATGGCCCCCAACTTTTAGACGGTATTGAAATTAAGGGTTTCCCAAAATTTTTTTCAAGCAAACTTTCCTACATAATTTCCCTTTTTTTTTTTTTTTTTTTTTTTTTTATTTTTTTATAAAAAAATTTTTAAATTTTTTTTTAAATAATTTTAATATAAAAATATAATTTTAAAATTATTTTTATAAAAATTTTATTAATTTTATTATATTTTTAATCCCCCAACACCTCCACAACAAAAAAACTATTAAAAAAAAAAAAAAAAAAAAAAAAATTTTTAAATTAAAAAAAAAAAAAAATTTTTTAAAAAAAAAATTAAAAAAATTAAAAAAAATTTTTAAAAAAAAAAAAAAAAAAAATTAAAATTAAAAAAAAAAAAAATTTTTAAATTTTTTAAATTAAAAAATTAAAATTTTTAAAAATATTAATTTTTTAAAAAAAAAAATTTTAAAAAAAAATTATTAAAAAATTAATTAAAAAAATTATTAAAAAAAAATTTTTAAAAAAAAAAAATTAAATTTTTAATTTAAAAAATTTTTTTATTAAAAAATTTTTAATTAATTTTTATTAAAAAATTTTTTAAAGAAAAAAGGGCAAAAGGGAAAATTTAAGGTGAGGAAAGGTTGTTGGGGTCTGGGTAGTACCATTACCAAAACCCAGTTACCGTAACCATTACCAGAACCGTTCCCATAACCATTACCGAAACCAGTTCCCAGAACCAGTTCCCAGTAACCATTCCCCGAAACCCAAATACCAGTAACCATTACCTTAACCATTATATAACCATTTACCAGAAACCCATTCCAGAACCATTACCATAACCAGTTCCAGTAACCAGTTACCATTAACCAGTTACCAGTAACCAGTTACCAGTAACCAGTTACCAGTACCACATGACGGAGGCGGTTTTGTCATGTAAGAGCAAAAAAGGAAGGGATGTTTAAACCCAGATGTATAAATTAGGACGGCAACAGGAGGGTAAAGGCACAGGAACGGTTAGAGAGGGGGAAAAATGAGGCTTTGAGTGTTAGTGACTTGAGCATCCAGCAGGTTTGTCTGAGCGTGTTACATAGGAGTGAATGGAGACAAACAGGTTTTTAATGGACGTGGTTTTGGAGTGTTAGCAAGATAACAGTTCTGGAGGGATACAGAGCACTGGTACCGGGACTTGATTCCGGAGTGGTGAAAGGCAGTGCCTACTGTGATGGTGAGGGGCGAGGGATGGTGCAGTCAGAGGGTTATCCGAACTGTGGTGTCAGCACACTTCTGGCAAGACAGCGATGGCGTGAATGATGGGGCATGTATTTTCTTCTTTGAGTCACTCAACCCTTGCCGGGAGACGCCGTTCACCTCAAATATAAAATAATAATAATATAATAATAATAATAAAAATAATAATAATAATAATAATAATATAATAATAATAAGAAGAAGAAGAGAAGGAGAAAAGAAAGAAGAAAAGAAGAATAGACGTGACGACGAGGAGCACAGCAGTAGCGAGGAGCAGCACTGCAACAGAAGAGCAGGGGAGGAAAAACAGCAGTAGCAGAGGAGGACAACACATTACGGGAAGGGGGAGCAACGCAACAGCAGTTACAGGAGAAGCAGCACTCAACCAGCTAGCATAGGAGCACAACAGCAGTAGCGGGAAAAGCATTTTGCAACACAGTAGCAGAGAAGCACACTGCAACAGCATTTACAGGAGGGCAGAAAACAGCGTACAGGAAAGAAACTGCAACAGCAGTAGTAGGAGACAGCACTGCAACAGCATAGCAGGAGGAGCAGCAACAGAAAGCAGAAAAGCAGCTGAAACAGCAGTAGCAGGAGACAGCACTGCAACAGCATTTCCAGAGGAGCAGCATTTGCCAACAGCAGTAAAAGGAGAAGCAGCACTGCACAGCAGTAGAAAGGACAGCAACAGCAGTAGCGGGAAAAAAGCAGCTGCAAAAAGCGTAGCAGGAGAAGCAGCAGCTGCAACAGCAGTACAGGAGGAGACAACAGCAGTAGCAGGAAAAAGCAGTGCAACACAGTAGCAGGAGGAGCAGCATGCAAAGCATAGCAGGAGGAGAGACAACAGAGACAGGAAAAGAAGCTGCAACAGCAGTACAGAAAGCAGCAGCTGCAACAGAGTAAGTAGAGGAGCAAAACAGCAGTAGCAGAAAAGCATTTGCAACAGCAGTAGCAGGAGAGCAGCACTGCAAACAGTAATAGCAGGAGGAGCAGCACTTGCAACAGAAAGTAGCAGAGGAGCAGCACTGCAACAGCATGCAGGAGAGCAGCAACAGCAGTAGCAGAAAGCAGCTGCAACAGCAGTAGCAGGAGAAGAAACACTGCAACAGCAGTAGCAGGAGAGCAGCAACAGCATAGCAGAAAAGAGCACTGCAACAGCATTAGCAGGAAAGAGAGCAACAGCAGTAGCAGGAAAAGCAGCTGCACAAGCAGTACAGAGGAGCACACTGCAACAGCATAGCAGAGGACCACTGCAACAGCATTAGCAGGAGGAGCACACTGCAACAGCATAGCAGAAGGAGGAGCACAAAGCATTATAAAAAGCAGCTGCAACAGCAGTAAAGGAGGAGCAGCACTGCAACGAGTACAGAGGAGCACAACAGCAGTAGCAGGAAAAGCACTGCAAACAGCATAGCAGGAAAGCAGCATGCAACACAGTACAGGAGGAGAGCAACAGCAGTATCAGAAAACAGCTG